CCCTTAACCCTTAGACCCTTAAGCCCGAAGACCAAAACCTTACCTCTCCCATTCCTCTTCCTCTCCTCTTCCCTTTCCTGTTCCTCTCCTCTCCTAAACCCTCAACCCTAAATTCAGAAATCCGCCCCCACTTCAACACGAACCAAATTCAAATTAAAACTTGATCATGCAAGCTCTACTTTTGTTCTATTCGTACACTCCCTCCCCGCACAACCCCTTCTCTCCTAAATCCAACTCTGCACCCTAAACCCCAAGCCATCCTGAAGCCTAAGCCCTAAACGTTTAAACACCCACGGGTTTCATAAGGATATCGATAGGGATCCTGTTGAAACACATGGCTTCTTGTAGTTTCTGTTGCAAAACTACGGTAAGCCTATATTGAAAGCCCTAAACCCTCAAGCGCGAAAAAAAAGAGGCGAGTGCAAGCCACGTGTTAAAGACGCCGTTCCTGTTACAAGCCCCCTGCTTGCTGCTACAGCCCTCCCCCGAATTCCTGTTACAGCGGGCCTGGTTTCTGAAACAGTTTCGAGCCAGTTCTTGAAACAAATTTTCTGGTACAACCCCCTGGTTCAGGTCAGGTTACAGCGCTTACTCTCGGGATGCTACAACTGCGAATTTTAGGTTTGGATATGTGTATGCAACAAAAATAAAGATTGATATAAAATCTAACCAAAACTACACATATCATTTGTTGTATTAAGACGCCGGTTATATATCTTCGGGCAGCCACCAGTTCGCAGTTTAGGGCAGCATTCCGGCTTCCAAAAAAGTCGCCGAAAACGGCGAGCCTCTTGGAAACTCCGGAACGATGCTTCGCTCATGTCTGGCTCATCGTCCACCCCTGAGCAGCGCTCAGGGTTTAGGGTTTTAGGGTTTACCTTGCTGTCGGGTTTAACGCCTTTGGTGTTTAGGGTTTCGGGGCTCCAGGCTTAAAAAACAAAAAATACGAAATCAGGAGGGGACACCAACAGTGAACTTGGGTCTTGATATCGGCGCAGATCTTTTTCGCAGCTGCATGGCATGCTGCGGAAACATCATGCATTGAGTGCACACTCTAAGCAGCTAAAGGCTTGTAAAAAACGCAAAACCCCAAAGCTGAACGGTCGAAGTTGGCAGGAAGTTATGTTTTACTTGCTTACGGCGAGTGCTTAACATGTCTAAGACATAAATTGTTTTGTAGAAATATATATATATATATACATACATACATCTATGACAGAACGGGTGTCATATCGTATGTGTATATCTCTATACACACACATACCACACATACAAAACACGAGAGTAACAAAAACAAAGTACACATACATACAGAGACATATACATGCGCGTGCATATATATATATATATACATACACGTACATACATACATACATACATACATACATACATACATACATACATATATATCTACATA